TGCTAGCCAATGACGGGTCAGACTTGGCCTGTGTTTTTGGATCGTGTCTCATGTTGGAACGTCCAACGTACGTTCCCATGCGCAGCTTCGGGCTGATTGAGTTGCAATATTTCCTCCAAGTATTTCTATTAACATGCTCGCATTTCTCTTGCCATCCAATTTTTGACCAAGTTTTCCTTTGCCTATTGATAGCTCACACATCCCCAAAACATGCAGCGATCACCTCGAATTCACAGTATGGAATGGTGTACCTTTCATCATAGCCTTTGTCAACTTGATCTCTCCACAACTGTAACGTCTATGGTTGTGGCCAAAAAGTTCATTTTCGGTCTCATCCACTCCAAATGACTTGGTTCCAGAAGTTTTTGAGGCTTTCTCTGTGCGGTGTATTGGGTATTGTAGCGGGATGCTTATGTGGCATTTGGCGTTGGCCGTAATGGGTCTTTCTTCTTGCGCTGACTCGACCATGCAGCCATTTTTCTTTCACAAGGTTGCCTCCTTTATTGTCATCTTGAAGACGAGCCAGCCACTTTTTTTTCAGAGAGTTCCCTGTCATTTCAGCTGAAGTCTATTTGTGGGTTTCTTTGCATTCCTCGAACAATTTTCCTTGGCCAGTTGCTGGCTGAAATCTTTGCTTGGCTACCATGACCGTGGTTTGTGTCTTCAACAGACATCCTCAATTTTCCACTTTCTTATTAAGTCTTGAAACACTGTCTGACTTGGCTATTCTCAAGTCCTTGGATATTCTTTTTTATACCCTATTCCTGTTTTATACAGTTCAACTACCTTTTATCCCGCAGATTCCCTCTTGACAATTCTTTTTGCTTCCCCATGACTCCGGATCCAAGGAAACGTCAGTGCCACACTGAGGATGAAAGATGCAAGGGTCTGTCAGGAGCCCAGAAACCCACTGACACTCTTTATACACACAACACTGATTACAAGCACAAACGCTCACACGGTGAGGATGCCGTTACCTTAAGTAGTCATTCGAAACCTGTTCTGTCTGTCAACTTCGTGGTCGCATGTTAATTCAGGCCAAAATCTTCCAGGGTATGGTAAACTTTTGATCAGGGTCCATTGGGTAGTTTTGTTGTCATTAGTGATTCAAAAAGAGCAAACACAGTTGTTTGACAATAAATAGCTTCACCCAACCACCTAACCATGAGGGCAAAAAAAGCTTTTTCTTCTTATCATTCCATATATCTCTTGACAAAAGTGGCCAAAAAAATCACAAATTCTGCCCAGGGTTATGTAAACTTATGAGACAATCGACTGTATATATGCTTATATAGTGTAATAATTATTATATATATGTGATATATATATATATATATAATATATCTATACTATGTTATAGTATTAACCCCTATTGATCCCTATTTAGTATTATGGTATACCCTCCATCTCAGTCATATAATCTCTATGCATATCATACTGATATGTGTAGTAGGCTAAAACTAATAGTCAGTCTATCATATATAACTATATATTATTACTATATATATATATAATGTATATATGTGAATAAAAATTTTATAATATATATAGGCATATATGTATATAATATATATATAATATATATTATGTGTATATATGTGTTTATAATATATATATAATATATAGTGATAATATATGTGTTTATATTATATGTTAATTATAATATTGGTGTATATATATATATATATGTATATATATAAGTATAATGTGTACGTATATTATATTATATATATTATGGTATATATATATATATAGCGTAGTATGTATGTGTATATATATACTATATATATATATATGTGTATATTACTACTCTATATGTGTTATAGTATTATATAATGGTTTAATGTGTTATATATATTATATTGTATATATATATATATAGTTGTGTATATATATTATGTATATATAGTGCTGATATATATGATATCTATATGGTATACTATATATATATGTATATATATATATATATATATGTATATATATATATATATATACGTATATATATAAAAATGACAACTTCAAAACAAACAGCCCAATGTGACATTTTTTTCTCCACCCCTTACAGAAAAACCCCTGAGGTCCTTCACCGTGACAAGCAGCCACCACAAGGCTCCAGTCCAGAATACCTCAGACAAACAAACAATGATTTTGTTTCAGTGTGGTTAACTGAAGATGGGAGACAGAAGGAGAGAAAGAGGAAGTTGAATAGCTGCATCTCAACAGCAACACAGATGAACTGTTTAACACAGCCATAAGCATAAACACTGTGCGTGCACACACACACATTTCCTTCACAGCTATTACAGGTGTAGTTTGTGCCATTTCAGGTTCTTATCTCAGGGGAAAAGTATATTTATGTAGCTGTCTGTTGCTGGCCAGTCTGGGGTCTTCATAGTGCAATGCTCATACAAACATGTTTTTAGCAATAACTGTTCAAACTGTTTAAACTGTGACGGTTTCATATCTAACCAGACTGGCAGAACTCAGACATAATGTACTTGATGACTATATGCTATGATTTTAGACGTGCAATGTGTTATGAGGGTTCATATGGTGAGGAAAGGGTGGGTGTCGGACCTGTGGTATACTAATGCCAACAGAAGTCAGTGTGAAGCCTCAGGTTAATATCACCAAATTGTTGAAGTGACCAGACCAGTCAGTTTAATGCATTTATATTACTGAGTCAGTTGATCTGATTTGTATCCCTATGTTCAACAAAATGCACCTTTTTTTTTTTTTTTTTTTTTTTTTTAACGGCACAGATGGTGTGCTTGCCTTTTACCATGGAATGGTTGACATGAACAATTTAAGGGGGAAGGGAGAATTACTTGACCTTACTGTGTGTGCAGATTGATAACTAGTATAATAATGCACTGACTATAAAATCCCACTGTTATGTGTTCATGGTGCTTCTACACTGTGTCTCAAAGTTCAATCAGATATCCAGTCTGCCTTCAGAAAACTCTCACCATTGAATATTCAGAGTGGTGGAGTTTTTGCCTTCAGAGCTAAAAGGATATAAATTTAACCTCCTAAAGTAATCACTCCATTTGTAGCAAAGTAAAATACATCAAACTGTAGTTTTTTATCATCCTCTGCTCCATAGAGACCAAAACAAATAACAATAAATTGGCACTTCTGAATTTTAAAATGATGGGTAACATACTGTGTACTGTATATTATAAAATAGCTGGAAGTGAGCGGGAAGTCAAGGTATGGTGAATGGCACAGCATTCAACATTCAACTGTATATATGGTACATGTTGATTTTTATATGTGTGTAAATACATTGTAAATATAATAAAGACGTTTTCCTTTTTCTTGGCCATTGGACAACTGACTTGATATTCTTTGCAAGTGTATGGACTGGAAACTGGATCTCACTTTGTTCCATTCAGTGTCATCCTCCCAATGCACACACCCTCTGACCCAACGTTAACAAAAGGGAACACGTAAATCATTATATAAAGTGTAAAATTTCAATCTGTGGAAGTCTGGAACATACCTTAAAATGTAAAACAATGTATTGTAAGGTTAGATTATAACTTAAAAACAAAGTTGTCTCCAATATCCGCCTTGCTATGCAGCATCTTTGTAAGATCCTAATTGTGATAAATGCAATGCAGCAAGTTTTTAACACCAATATAAAATGATTGTTCCACTGTCACCCTAAGCCTTGGACTTTGCTATACCACGTTCCATGGTTCAACACCCAACACATGGTTTTCTATGACTTTGAAGCCACAACCTTTGAGCGGGAGACATAGACCATTACTCAAAAACAAAGAAACGGTTGAAAGTATATGAAAAATCATTTATTATTCCTGAATATCAGAATACCACAAAGGCCGATGACAAAACCCAACACCGATCAGTGATGATGCGCAGTAGCAGATCATTTGGTAGGTCGAGCTGGGGGCTAGCAAATGAGGATGTGCAGACCATGTACAGTAGGCCCAGCCTTTTCACCAAAACAGATCAATGGATAGTTTCACCCTCAGCATCAGTAGCTTACCAACGTAATTATCTATTGTCAGCATTAGGAAGACTGAGTGCTGAGAAAAATTGAAACACGCACTTTGAAGTCCTTCAGAACAACACTGCAGCCGCTAACTTCCTAATTATCAATTACAGATTTTTTGGAAAATCATCAACATTAAAACGAATTTCATAATAGATGCATTTATGGTTATCTCCGTGAACGATGGCTGGGGCCTTTGAACGGGTTATCCTGAAGCAAGAAAAAAGGAGATGATGGAAAATTAAGATAAGATAATCAAGTAAAATTTTTTGAATTAAAATATAAATAATATAAAATGGATTATGTAATTTTAAGTGTAGGGGTTACATTTTTTGTATGAAATGTTATAAATAGAAGAGATCAGGAATTCAGGAGTTTTAATTCCCAGAAAACTATATGGTTACATATAATCCCACTATACAGTAGTTTGCATCCCAGCACTCTAGATACTGATACATTTTCTCTGATCTCGTTACCTCATCATCATCATCGCTGTCATCAAATGCAACTCCTCGAGATGACTGGCTCTGGGAGCTGTACTTAGTGAAGGACGACGACGATGCTGGTCTGTGGTGAGCAAGAGACAGACCCAGGTAAAAACAAAAAATGTTAGTTTTCAAAATATCACTCTGATGGAGGGAAGAAACAAGAAAGAATATATACCCGGTGTGTCACTACATTTTTTCCTCCCTTGAAAGGCTGGACTACCACACTGTAGACAGAAACAAACATACCTTGGAGGCGGTCGGGCAGCTTTCATTACTGAGATATCTTCATCTGAGTCATCAATAGCCACCTGAAGATGGATAAAAAAGGGTACAGATCACAAACAGATTAAAAATAAGGAGGTGTTTGTGTTAACTTTGCATGTGCGCTGGCATTCAACTTACTTCATCTGCTGTGTAAGATGGGGTGGCTCTAGTCCGAGACGACTTCTGAGATGGAGCTTGAAATGCTGAAGAATGAGGTGTAAAGAAGGACGAGAGGTGCATTGAAGGAGGAGTCGAGGTGAAAGCAAAAGAAGAAAGTGAAAGATGAGGAGCAGGTAAAATAAGAGATAATGTAAAATAAGATTGCCGTGCATTCTCTATGTCCCTGTCTGCCATAATAGTGTGTCTACAGATCACCACACTCACACACATAATCTCACACTCTCCTACCTTGCATAATGCTTCTGCTTTGGGTTGTTGCTGAGGATTTCTGGGCACGACCCCGCCCGGCTGGCTTTGGTTCAGAGCCAGTTGCACCTGAAAGAACAGATGAACAACAGTGGAACAATGATGGAATAACTGCACACCTTCATTGTATGCTTTGTTTTGCTGTACAGACTACTTTTTGTACGATGTCAGCAGCCAAAAAGGTTGGAAACTACAGGTTTAATCTTTAACAATGTGCTGTATCTTAGTAAGTGTGTTATATCTTCAATCCATGTAAAATATTCATCTTAAAAAGGTAACTGGTGACTAAAGCTGTCAAATAAATGTAGAATGGAAGTATAAAGTAGCAAAAAATGGAAATGCTCAAGTAAAGTAGAAGTATCCCAAAATTGTACTTAAGCACAATGCTTGAGTAAATGTGCTGTATTACCACTGTGTATTTCTCTGCACTTCTATTCTCACTTCATATTTGTGACAAATGGAAATGATAACTCACCTCTCCCCCTCCCTCGGCCACCCCGTCCCCTGCCTCCTCGCCCTCGGCCTCGCGTTGTGGGAGGGAATAGGGCTGATTCCTCGTCGGAGTCCATAGCAACATCAGCAAATTCGCTGGATATATCTGAGTGTAAAGGATCATCACCACGCTCCAAGCGGTGAGCTTTGGCTCTGCTCATAGCCTGAGAAATAAATAAAGAGTGAAATAAAGAGCAAATGAAAGAGTGAAAGAAAGAAAGAAAGAAAGAAAGAAGTGTGCATTCCACACACATACCTCTTTGATTTCATTCTCCTCCTCAGTTGTGTTCTTTTTGGAGTCTCTGAATCGTCTGATCTGAAAATTTTAAAACACATAGACACTGATTAAAAACTGCTGTATTCATAAAGTTTATCATTACTATTATAGAACATTTACATCATTTTCCCCACTTCCATTGCATGCCCCGACTCCTTACCTCTGCATCTATATCCTGTTCTGTAATTACTCCTCTGGCCTGGAGGTGGCGCTGTGTCTTCTCCAGCTGGTAAGTGATCAGCTCCTGGATGGCATCTTTCTCATCTTTGTCTACAAACTCCTGAATGGCCTTCCCCATGCCCTGCTCAGTCAGCAGGGACAGCTGTACCGTCTGTGAAGATATGCAGACACACTTTTCAATAGAATACAAAGTAAAAACAGTAGATGAAAATGAGTGTGATGACACCCTGTCAATATGTGAATGTAAATCCATGCATGTACAGTACCTGTTCGGTTGCCTCAAAGTACTGTTTAACCAGGTCCTCCACTCTAAGCCCCTCAACTGCTGTGGTTTTTAACAGCTTGCCATAATCAACATTGACCTCATCTAAAAAGCACAAAGATTGAAGTCAAATAGACAATACAGTATATCGATCTATGGTGTATACTGTAGTTGCATAGCTGTGTATTAACTCCCTGCCAGACCTTTGATGCCCTCCTTTTGCTCACGCCGTCTGAGAAAGTGGATGATGTCTTTTGGGTTGGCCACGCGGTCCACAAACTTCTGACTGAAGCGAGAGGTGTTGAACGCCTCAAATCCTCCACTGTAGTCCACCTGGCGACGGCAATGAAGTTTCCAGAATTAGAATCAAGTGTGAATGTGAAGGTGTGTGCAGATGCTACAAGTGTGTCCTTCTTACCCTCAGACGAATAAGAGGTTTCTCTGGGGTGAGCGGACATCCAAGTCTTTCTCTCTCAGCTTCCTCTAACATCTCTACAACCTACAGAATAGCAGAAAGAAAGTAAGACAACTGAGCAATAAGTATTAGACTGTCTCTTTATGTTTAATGATGACTATAAGTTTACCTTTGCATAGCAGAAGTCCTCCACCTTCTTTGTGACCTGGGGTGTATCAGGTGTGAAGCGGTCTTCATAGTCAGCCAGCACCACATCCTGGATGAAGAACTGACGCACCGTCTTTAGGGGGATCTTTTGCAGGTTCATCTTACGACCCTTTACCCTCAGCAGCCCTATGTGCCTAGATACACAAAAACAGTGGTTTAGCTACCTGATCACGTTAACACTTAGAATATGGAGACTGCCATTAACCGTATGTGTGTTTATTTGTACTTCTTGGTAGCCTCTCCAGGGGACAGGGAGGTCGCTACAGAACTGCCAGGCTGGGTCACATAGAAGAGCTGTTGCTCATTTCTGGATGGTGCTATCAAACATTCGTGCTCGTGACCCCACACCACCAGGTCAAGAAATTCATCCAGGAACTGCTCGGGAATATAGTTTGTGGGGCCGTGCTTACTCCTAGACAGAACACAGAAACAAGAAAGATAAAACAAAAACCCTAAAACATTTTAGATAATGTAGTAAAGATTTACTATCATTATATCAATGCACTGACAACATACCAATCTATGAACAAAGCATGAGCCAACCTATTATGCACCTTCTTAAAAGCGCATTAATGTTCAATGACATAACAATATAACAATATATAATGTGTTATTATAAGACTATAATTTATAGTCTTCCCTCCTAATGGATTTCCAACAACATACACATGCATACACACACCTGTTCTGGTGGATGGTGAAGAGGTTAAACCACTCATCTTGGTCTTCTTTGGGGCGAAGCATGGTTACCTGGTTGTTGACAAACATCCTGTACAAGCGCTCATCTGGGATAGAACCTACAAAACACACAAACACACACACAATTCAGAGTGAAACACAATTTTCACTCGCTTTCATATTAACCCTAGAAGAATGCAGACAAAGATTATACAAAATACACACTTACCAAGACCATATAAGGCCAACCTGGTGTTGCCTTTCTGCATGAGAATGGGACTAATCTCTATTCGCTCTACTGACTGGGAGTGACCGAAGTGATTGATAAGACCAGAAGCACCTAGCAGATCAAGCGCACACAGACCTTCAGCCTTGGGGAAAGAAGGACAACATTACAAACAAACAAACAAACAAATACACAGTGATATAATCATTTCTCTAATGCTGGAAGCAACTCACCCCAGTTGGGTCATCATGGTTGCCATGAATGCTAAACACAGGAATAGCAATGTTCAGGTTTTCATCCTGATAGTTAACCCAGGGGAACCTACAACACATTGACATAAATAAAACAACATTAAAAAACCATTAATTCAACAGCAATGGTAGAAAGGAATGAAAGGAAGAGACACTGACTGGGTTGTGTTGAAGTTGACGGTCTGGTCACTGAGGATGTTGAAGTGTATGGGCGTGTCTCCCATGCAGTACTGTCTGAGCATAGTGATGCAGTTGTGGAGGCATCGCCGTGATGGCTTGTTCTCATGGAACAAATCTCCACCCAGCAGGATGAAATCTACCTGAAAGCAAATCAATATGCATAAAGAAATCAGAGGGCATTTAAGACGTTGGTCTTTGTGGTTGTCCATTCAAGCAGATACAGATATACATATTTATCTAAGGGTGAATCATCCATTTGACCTCCTATATAAAAACATCAATCCACATGTATGTACCTGGTTTGTCTTAGCACATTTTAAGATCTCATCCAGTGTGTTATAAGAGTCATTGCCACGGATTGCATCCTTCTCTAGGTAACCAAGGTGAACATCTGTAGCAATTAGGATCTTGAAAGTATCCTCATCATCCCTAAGAACAGCACAGAATGCAATCAATAAAAAGAAAAATAGCATTAAGATTAAATCATTCTGAACTTGCCTGGATACACCTGTACATTAGACAGCATTGAACATGGCCTGGATGTAAACATCAATCATTATTCACTGGGAAATTTTACCAGCTCTGTTAATAAGTAACCAGCACAATCACAATATATTTAGTTTGATCATTTGTTATTAAAAAGTAGAATTTAAACTGACTCACAAGGTGTTCTCGGAGGACATGATGATGTGGGAAAATGAGTTTTTTTTTCACCAGACAGGTGCTCACCAAAAGCCTTTTCCTGCGGAAAATACATTTAGCCCTAATTATCTTATCTAAGAAATGACAGAAGTGCCTTTCAGATTAATTCTAAAGATGCTACTATACCACAAATACAAATGCCAATACACACGTTTCGTTGATATATTTAGATAAAGCAAGAAAACACCGCATATTACGGTTAAGTAAGTAAAGAGTTCACTTAAGTAAATGAGAAACGTCACAGAAGCATTACTGTTGAAAGCCACGTTTATAATACCAGGGTCGCCGAACAATACACTTCATGATACATTACAATGCCTTATATTATATTGTGTGATAGCTAGCTAACTACTAATCTGTTAGTAAAGTAGTAGCTAACAGCGGAATGGTACGTTAACTTACAACGAGGATGGTGAGTTAGCTTTATCTTATGCTAGAAGCTCATTGGTGCAACGTATTAATACAATAACTAACACGAACTTAACATGTGTTTACACACTGGTTTGGTCTGACCTACAGTTAATATGCCCGTGTAACTTTGGCAACTGTTTGTTATAAAGTATGTGGTGAAAAAATCATAGCGTGTCACCCACCTCCTCAGAAGTATCACAACTACCTAACTTGCCACAAAATCCCGGCAAGTCTTGCAAACCTTCTCCGCAACCCTCACAAATGGCTCACGGTTATTGTAGTTTTACCCTGAAGCATCGCCGTTCTAGACGGTAGACTCTCGGTGGAGGAAAAACTACACTTCCGGTTTAGCAAGCGATGTGCATTTGTTTTATTTAAAGAGGGACACCGCCGTCTCTCAAAGATAGCGCTAGAGTCTACGTGCGCATCGTCTAGCGGGCCAGGCTGCGATAAATATCATTCAAACCCCTCAAAACCCTGGGTTGTGTGTCCTGCCAAGTGATGTTTTCTTTTCACAACCCATGTTAGCACTGGCAGCTCTGAAAACGGCTTAGCTAGCAAGCTGTCAGTCGTAATTAAAAAGGGGTTCACTATAGTTTCACTTTAAAATTACGTTAGCATATTTTTCATAATTTACTCCGTGGTTCAGCACAGGCGAGGCAAACTGGATTGGCTGCCTTTCAATGGAGACGCTGTCAAAAACACCCGCTGCTGATGTTACGCGGGAGAAGGTAGCTTTTCCAGATTTTTTAATTTAACTTTGAGAATAATACAATCTGTTTTCTGCTGTTTATATTGACCATAAAGTTAGCTAGACTACACGGACAGATACCTAGCAGCAGTTGCTACAACTCAGACCAGCTGATGTTGCAGACTGGAAAGTTTCACCGTCATGTGTTGTATTTGATTTCAGCAGGACAAACACATCATGCTGTAACGTTAAGTTCAGTTGGAGCCTTTCTGCACTTAATTTATTGCCCATGCATGTGATGGCTTGCTGCACTATAATATCTCCCTTATTCGTATATTGTAGATATCAGTTTTGAAGATATCTTGGAGATGTATAATATTCGCCATTTACTGTGGATGCTGGTGCATGTTTTTCTTTGCAGGAGCTCTGTCCACCACCACCACCACCACCACCCAGTGGAGTAGTATCTGACAGCCTGTCCCTGCCATCTTATAAAGAGTATCCTGCTCACCGTCCCTTCATCAACACACTTGTGCATCACACACGTAGAGCACGCACACATCAGCCATGTCGCCCATCATCACCCAGCAAGGCATTCCCAGAGACCAGCAGTGCAGGTTAATTTAATTTGTGCATCTGTCTCTCAGTATGGGATGTATTCCCTTTACAATGTCTCCATTCAGGTATTGTGGTGTTCCAGAGCTCCATGGTTACATGTGTAACGCGATGCCGCACTACCTGAATGTCTCAGCTTCAGTGACATCTATGAAAACATATCTTATTACACTGTCTGTAACCATGTAACCACTGCCTGAATATGTTTGAACTCTAACAGTATATACCTATATGCATCACACTCTTGTATCTAACCTCTCACACACAATTCATGTGTTTATGTTCATGTGCAGCGATCTTATCTGCCTTGAGGAACCTTCAGGAGAAGATCAGGAGGCTGGAGTTGGAGAAAGGACATCCAGAGCTTGGTCTGCAAACTGTAGGAAAGGATGCATCACACACACATCTACAGAGTGAGAACGTCACACAGAGACTCTTAAATAATCAGGCCGACACAGAGAGAGAAATGAGTGAGCCATCCGACTGTAACCAAGGTGAGTATATGGTTAAGATCCGATGATAATAATGTCGTAACCTTTTCATTGACTTCTTTCATTTCCTTGCATCTTGTTATTTTTTTCTCCTCTCCCTCTTCTCTTCTTGTAGTGTTGATCACCCACCTTGCCGCTGCAGAGTCTCGCTGTGTGAAGCTGGAGCGACAGCTGGATCACATGAGAAAGATGTTGCGGAATGCCAAGGCAGACAGGACCAGCCTGATCAGACAGCAGGTTAGCCCAGAGTTTCTAAGTGTCATAAGCTGTGATTTATCTTAGTAAGTAAAAGGCCTGTCATGTGTGAGTGAGTAAATGTGTAGATTTGTATTAATTGTTCCCCTGGAAACTGTCAGGTTTCCATGGATACAGCCAAGTTACCTGATCGACAGCCGGACACAGTGACTGAGCATGCTCAGTTGGAGAAGCTGGAGCGACTGGAGCAGGAGTATCTCAGGCTCACACGCACACAGAACAATGCTGAGGTACATATATAAAGACAGAGTGAAATGTCAATAGGAAAATGGTACAAGAACATGTACTGACCTTAACTACTGAGCTGCCTTGGTGCAGTGCTCTTATCACTACCATAAGGAAGAGCATATTGCCAATTTCCATAGCTATGCCAGTGACACACAAAATACTACATTTCTATGCAGACTGAATGACATGAATTCCTCAAGCTTACCCACACCCTGTTTTCCTGCAAACAAAACATGGATGTGTAATAACTTTCAAAATTTCAGTGAGAACGAGAAAGAACCACTTGTGGCCCAAAAAACATTATCACATAAAAAGACATTATCCCAAAACCTAGGGCAATGGCTCCCAGCCTGAGGGGTCACAAATTGATTAAAGGGATAAGAAAACTAATTATACAATATTTCATTTACACAAAATGATTTAATTTTATGACGTTTTCACTTTTTCTCGTGAAGTGCTGTATACTCCGTCTCTGAAAATTCTACAAATTTGGGAAAAGTCACTCTTTGATTGAACTTCTAATGTTCACACCAAGGCCATTACCTGTGATGAGGGGTCACAAGCCAAATGGGTTGCGAACCACTGACGGAGGACAATCTCTCTAGTTTTTAGAAGTTAAAAGCTTGGGTGTTGTCTTAGACTCTGTTGCCAGGGTTTGAACTTACTTAGCCAGAATAATGTCAAGCAGCTAGTTCATGTTTTAATCACAAGTTTGCAGTGACAAGTAAAAAATAACTTATTAAAATATTCCTCTTATTATTAATACAGTAATGATGACTGTGTGTGTCTGAATATGTCAGATGAAGATTCATGAGCTAGAGATAAAACTGCAGGAGGAGGAGCACCAGAGGAAGCTCATCCAGGATAAGGCCAACCAGGTGACGAGACATTCATTTGTATTTCTCTTCCTTGTAGTCGCTATCTGCAGGTTGTAATGTTTGTTATGCCTGAAAGGAAGTTTCACTTAATGTATGCTAAATGTAAATCTATAAATGCCTACACATGCACTTATGCATCACACGTATGTGGTGTTTTTCCTTTTTTTTTCCTTCTTCTTTCCTCAGCTCCAGACAGGTTTGGAGGCCAATAGGATCCTGCTGCAGTCAGTGTCACCTTGCCTGTCCACCAGACGGTCCAAAGAGAGGAAGTCCAACTCACAGGTGAAGACCTTCACAGATTCACAGGGGTGGTTCAGGGTTTTCTGTTTTAGAGGACTGAGAATGTTGCTTTCCTTCTTTATATACAAATGTTTGAACAAATGTGACAAGACATCTGCAGTCTAGCGCTTCTCTACAGTGTTAGTACATGTGTGAATGTCATATTCAATCAAGTGGGAAAGGCATTTGTTCAGAGATCCTTATAAATTCTTAATTTTCTCTGCTTTTCTTTCTGTGGATCTTACTATTGTTTACGCTGATTTTCTCCTCCCAGAAATCTTCACCACAGCAGTCGTCCCACACACAGCCACATTATAGACTGAGCCTCAGAGATGTGCCTTTTGTTGCTGGAACGGTAGTATGGACATATGTGCATTTGTGGTTTTAGCGTTGGAATGAAATAGATTTTAGTTTGAAATGCTGCACCGTCCTTACAATGGTTCCCTCTGTCTCTCTCTTCCACTCTCCCACCTGCGTTTCAGTCAGTGGGCTGCAGCCACTCAGTCAGAGCAAACGTCCAGTCGGTTTTGTCACTCCTGAAGCGACACCAGCCACACCTCTGCAACAGCCGCGTCCTCTCCAACCACACAAACGGCTATGAGACAGCTGGCTGCAGGCATTCAGACAGTTCCTGTTCTTCTTCCTCTGCTAGTGGGGAGGAGCTGTCAGAGCTGCTGCAAGCACTACAGGAGGAGCTGCGGCTCATGAGCTTGTGAGTGTGCATAGTTTGATAAGGAGAGAATTGCTTATGAAAAGTGTTTCATTTTCATCTGTGTGTCTGAATGTGTGTGTTGCAGGGAGCAGGATGAGCTGATGAGGCAGGTGGAGGACAGCGTCTCTGAACAGGAAAGAAGAGAACTTCAGAGGGAGCAGGAGCGGCTGCTGCTGAAAATGGAGAGGAAGGGAGAGCAGATCAGTAAACTCTACAAACACAAAACACAGGTGGGATTTCACACAAAACCAATTCACTTCGCACACAAGCAAAGTGTAAGATTTTGTTTTGTTTTGTGACTCCTCTCTGATACCTTTTCTTGTCTCTCTTCTAGATAAAGAAGTTGAGAAAGGAAGCTGGTTCAAGGCCTAACAGTAGGAATGAAGTAAGCGTGACTACCACAGTGTCCACAAGAGGTCGCTCTGCCGGAGCAGTCAAAGTCAGACCAGGGGAGAGAAGCAAGAGGAATCTGAGGCTGCTGAGGGACATGAAAGCTCTGCAGACCTCGTTACGGACCTGAAACTCACAGAGAACAAGGTTACTTTTGTTGGTGCTTTCTACCTATGACCATTATTTCAACATCAGCACAACCACTGACTGAAAATCACTACATGAACATGACGGACAAAGCTTGTGTAAATAAGTGTATTCATGAACATTTGACCTATTTCTTGTGAGAAAGATATATTTTTGATATATCAGGAACATTGTAACACATCTAAAACACTGTACTTTAAACATGGACTGATTTTTTTTTTTTTTTAACTTGATGTTTAAGTCTTTTAGCACCAGAGGGCGTCCCAGTTCTTAAACACAACTTAGCTATATGTATGACGGAGACGATGAGTGCTGGAAAATATATTTTAATGTTTCATTTTCATTTTAGTTTTAAACATTTCATGATGCTTAACATTCCTGAGTTGCTTGATAGTTACAAATTCTCAAATTTCATAAACATAGTGGACGCAGCAGCCTTTGGTAGTGTGAAGAAACTGCAATGATTAAATAGAGTGGTATATTTTTCCGCAATTTGATTATCCTAATGATGTGCTTAAGGACTAAAAAAATACACTGTTCTGTATTTGGTTAAAACGACTGAATCCCTGTGATGTGTGTATATGCACGTGTTGTGTGTTATGATCATAATATTTGTTATTATTTCTACTAATATATTTGGGAGGATTCTTTTATATTTTGACAATCATGGCCTATTTCTGAATGGAAATGCATTTCTCTGAGAATCATGTTTGTTTTTGCATATAACTACAGTCTTAGATTGTTTTTTGTGGCTTAGTTGTTTCAGTGACAAAGATTATGCATTGGCAAACAGCCATGGCCAGGTACTTGCTTTTATTTTTTTGTAGATGTTCCAGTGATCCACTTTGCCCTTGTGCCCTTTTATCCGTACCATGCTGTGTTGCATTTGAGCGACTCCTGCTTGGCTCTCCACTTTGACAGATTTGTCCTCTACCTTTGATGCTGGCATCATGACGTCAGTAGACATCAGACCTCAATAAAATCACAAAGGTCTTAAAACAAATCTAATCTGTGCTTAGTATACACTACCATTTAAACAAACATTTTTAATCACAATCAAATAAAATCAAATGTAAAAGAAACAGTTCACCGTTTAAGGTGATTCCTGTGACTTCTATTGTTTATTATCTGGTAATATGACATATTTGATTAATTACTACTAATCAGGGGTGTAATGTTTAAATACATTAGTCAACCATGACAGAACTGATCTGGAGACTGTGAAGGCTGTCAAGGCTTCATCATGTATTGATGAAGCCTTATTGAAGTATTGAGGTGTTCACTCAGGACACATAAAAAAAAAAACCATCATATGCACTGTCTCCAAAAGCTCCTCCATATACTTTCACTAACCGTGAACATTTCAAATCGAAATATTTTTTATACTGGAGACAACAAGAGAGGCCCCATCTCTTCACAAAGCTAACATATCATTAACTTCCATGCTCCTTAAACCAATCAGTGAGCCCTTGTTCCCTGTATGGAAACAAATGCATTTGTTATGACTGCACTCATCTATTCAGGTTCTTCCTTTAATTAATCTTTTAATATTTTTGCTTCAGTGCACGTGAATCAAATGCTCAATAGAACTTCAGCAAATTACATTTATGAAACTATGACCCCAGGTTGAAGGCCTGGTCTATTCAAAAGTAGTTATATATCAGCGCTTATCAGTTATTTGAACACTTCGCAGGATGGCGCAAATAGTTCAAAAATGCTGTCTCAGCTCAAAGGCTACCGGCTGCTACCGGCAACGTTTAAGCTTCATGGTATGTTACTTGACGTCGAGAATAAATCAACACCTTAAGTGTGATTTTTTTTTTCTTCTTCTCTACGTATTTTACGTTCCGCGAACGCTCGAACTGAAAGTTTTCTAAACGTTCCGCGAACGTTTACGGAAAGTATGTAGTTCCGAAAATTTTTAGTTGGGTGAAGGATTTATAAGGATGTTCAAAAAAGGTGTCTTTGCTACTTATTGTAGGCCTATATGATACTTCAGTAATAGATTATTTCTGAAGTCTCCATACAGATTATCGTAGCCTCATGAGAAACTGACCGTCTCCCACCCAGGAGCGGCTGCAGAACGAGGGTGGACTGGACAGCTCCTTATGGATGAGGTCTCGGTCTCCGGTGCGTCTGTCTCTGTCTCCTGCTGTGTCCTACAGACAGTCTCCGTACAGTAACTTGTAGCCGAATACACGGGACTTTCCCACAGTCAGCGGGGACATCATCACCCAGGGTTTATGGCTGGACGTGGCGCTTGTGTTGTGGATAGAGCGACGTGACGAAGATTGGCACCCTGAGGGAAAACGTGGCTGGCGGACAAACTGTTCTTTAAACTTGACAGAGATATGGTAGGCTGCTTTGGCAGAGTTTTGTTTTCGTTGCATTGTAAATTGCTTGACTTTTTTGACCAGGATTAAACAGCACTCCCTGTACCCTCGACAGTATGGATTCATTAACAACTGTTTGAAATCGCTGGTAGTTGAGAAGTTTGGCGAGGAGACGTGGATCAAGCTCAGGTAAAAGAAAAAAATATATATTGTTATGTATCGTGTTTATCCGCTTTAAATTCTTCCCCAAATCATCACCATCATGGACAGGGATGGAGCTGGAGTCCAGGACACCTTCCTCACATATGAAGTCTATAAAGATGAGATCACCATGCAGTTAGTAGCAGAAGCCTGCAAGCTTTTAGGTAAATTGTTACTATACATGTTTCGTTTCAAGATGTAGTCTACAACCAGTTTAAATCTTGACTAAAAAAAACAGTGAATAATTTATATTTTTGTTTTTTGTTTTTTGACAGGAGCGAAGCCAGAGGTTGTCCTGAGGCAGTTTGGAGAATATTTCTTTGAGTTTTGCAAACGCTCTGGCTATGATCACATGCTGCGGACTTTAGGAGGAAATTTGTTTGAATTCACTGAGAATCTGGATGCACTTCATAGCTACCTCGCCCTCTCCTACAAGGTGCCTGCTCCCAGGCCTGCTCATTCCCTCTTTTGTATCTAATTTTTCTCGTTTTATGTCCGTTGTGTGGCCATGAGGAGAAAACATTGATTTATGATTCACTGTTTGATTCTTACTCTTGCAGGAGATGAATGCACCATCGTTTCGGGTGGAGAGGAACCCTGACGGCACCATGCTTCTCCACTATTATTCAGACCGTAGAGGACTATGCCACATTGTTCCTGGTAAATAAAATCACATCCTCTGGAGTAAATGCCACTTTCATCGCTGTCCTTTGCATTATTCTCATAATCTTGGCACCATTTTATTACTATTTTTTGTGCAGACCAAGTGATATCACTCTGTTTTACAGGAATTATTGGAGCTGTTGCTAAAGATTTTTTCAACAGCGACATAACAATGGAAATTGTCAACCAGCTAGAGGAGCTGGAGAGAACTGGGAAGAAGGAGCATGTGGTTTTCCTGGTTACACAGTGGCCAGCTGTTGCTGCTCGGTCCAGTGCGGGCAGCAGTAAGACTGGACCTTTTCCATGGACCCAATCCCTCCAGCCTTTGGCCAGCCGACATAATGCCATGATCTGGATTAAAGAGGTTAAATTAATGATCTGTGTTACAAGCTGTGCATGTTAACTGTAGAGGATAAGATTGGACAAAACAAGCCAGAACAAAAAAAAACAAAAAAACATGACTGATCATAGTGAAATTCTAACTCCTCCCTCTCTGTCTCCTCAGCCTCTTCATCATAAAAGATCCAGTATCTGTCTCTCCATGCACAAGAGTCACTGGGAGATGATTAGGGGGCTTGTTCGCCTTGGGAAAGGTACACACATTCAGAAACATACGTACAGATTGACCCGGTATCATTATTAGAAAGTTTCATGCTTTATGCCCATGACAGGCAACAGGATTCACATAGTACCTGTATATGTGTATCTTTATTTGCATATACTTAGAAATCTTTAACCCACTTTTTTCTAACCGTACAGGCAAACTATTGAGGGGCTTTGAACCAGTGTATCCTATGACCCTTAACATTGATCTGAAGACTTTCTGCCATGCTTTTCCTTTCCATATAGTCTTCAATGAGCAGGTAAAAAAAACAAAAAAAAACACAAATACAGCTATTGACTGTAAATATTAGCAGGGATTTATGAGTAATTGGATCATATTAACTTAACTGGAGTTATCCTGTTTGTGTCTGAGGCAGCTGGTGGTGCACCAGGCAGGGGTGAACCTCCAGAGGATTGTCCCTGGGCTCCAGACCATGAGCATCCATCTGGACCAGTACTTCAGCATTGTGCATCCTGAGGTAACCTTCACCATCTCCAGCATCAGGAAGTTCATCAACAGCCACTTTGTCCTGCAGACACGCAGGGACATGATGCCTGAAGCATGGGACGACAGACCTATGCTGCAGCTCAGAGGTAAAGGACAAATGGACAAAAAAAAATCTAGTATTTGCTATTTGTTTGTCTCCAGCAACTTATAAATAAGCCTTTTTATCATTTTTCTTTTTTGTCTCCAGGTCAGATGATCTGGATGCCCTCCCTGGACTGTATGCTCTATCAAGCCTCTCCTCTGCTGAGAAGCCTTCAGGAATTAGAGGAGAGAGACATGCACATATCTGACATCGCGCCGCATGACGTCACCCGCGACCTCATCCTGCTCAATCAGCAGCGGCTGGCAGAAATCGAGCTGTCCAATCAGCTGGAGAGGAAGAAAGAGGAGCTCCGCCTCCTGTCTCAGCACCTGGAGGAGGAGAGGAGAAAGACGGAGAACCTGCTGTACGCCATGCTGCCCAAGCATGTAGCCAACCAGCTGAAAGAGGGCAAGACAGTGGAAGCAGGTTAATGAAATGCAAATGCTAGAAATGTTGAGCTAGTGTGTCTGTAACTGTATGTAATACGACTGCTGTGTGTTTGTGCATCCTACAGGTGAATTTAAAGAGTGCACCATACTGTTCAGTGATGTGGTGACCTTCACTAATATCTGCTCCATGTGTGAACCTATCCAAATCGTCCTTATGCTTAACTCCATGTACCTCCGATTTGACCGACTCACAACTGTGCACAATGTTTACAAGGTACACACAACAGATTTAATCTTCTGACACAAATACAGGAATGATCATTTGTAAGTTAGTTTTTACCTGAGCACTGGAGAGAATTACTTCAGTCACATTTTGTTTTTCTAGTCCTACTTTGTTCATAATTATTTTCACAGGTTGAAACTATAGGCGATGCCTATATGGTGGTAGGTGGGGTTCCATTACCGGTCTCCAGCCACGCTGAGAGGGTGGCCAACTTTGCCCTGGGTATGATTTTGGCTGCCAGGGAGGTTATCAACCCTGTGACTGGAGGACCCATTCAGGTTGCAAGAATGCTAGTGCTCCATTTCTCAAATACATGTGTTGATATTTTTCTAACGAGCTGGGGGGGGGGGGGTTTTTCTTGCCTGACAATTTTTAGTGCTGTTCTTACATCTGTTGGTGTTAGATCCGTGTGGGCCTCCACAGTGGTCCCGTGCTGGCAGGTGTAGTTGGGGAGAAGATGCCCCGCTACTGTCTGTTTGGCGACACTGTCAACACTGCCTCTCGCATGGAGAGTCACGGCCTCCCCGACAAGATCCATTTGAGCCCAACTGTCTACCAGTGAGGATACGTGCATTCAAGCATGAAAACAAATGCATTCATAGACGTTTTGACGTGAGACATGGCAATGTCTCCTTCCTTATTAACGGCTTTATTTTGACATCCTCTATCCATGTTTCTCAGGGCTTTGAAGAAAAAAAGCTTTGTTTTCCAGAAGCGAGGAGAGATCGAGGTGAAAGGGAAGGGCAGGATGGTCACTTACTTTCTTGAAAGAAACTTCGGGGTCAGTGAGCAGCAGATTATGGGTCTCTCAGACGTAGAGGCTGCCACTGGACAGCAGGACAGCCAGAAGAGCCAGCCTGATCTCCACAGACCAGGTGTGTTTGCTATCTGACGAATTCTATTAATTCTAATTCTACATCTTCTGTATTACACTGCGTCCTTTAAACTGGGGAACAAGGACTTCTCATTGAATTTTTTGGGAGGTTTTTTTGGTCCTGGATTCTTTATATATCAATGTTTCTCACTCATTTTTTCCCTCCGTCGTAGCTTTTCAGCAGCAGCGCAGGGATGACCTTTGCTTGATCCCTATGGAATATGGAGACAACGTGAGTGAACCGCCGCCGTCAGCACACATGTCTGAACCCCAGACCTGCACAGCCATCAAGCCCCGGGACTCAGAGAGCTACGGAAGCCTGTACACTGATGATCAATCAGACGATGGAGCACTGGATCAGTTAAAAGACACAGATGAATTTGGACAGGCAGGAGTGAAATACACAGAGAAACATGCGGATGGTCTGGACAGTGAACAGCACTTGATTAACGCTGCTGAGGGAACCAACAATGGAAGCAAACGCACCCGAACCAGGTTCTGTGTGGTCCTGTGAGTTGGTAATTACCTGCTGAATGGTGCAGCATGTTTAACTCGTGCAATTGTTATTGAACACCACTCGTTGAGAGGCTTTTTTGTGGCTAATATCATTCTCACTATGTGTTACATTAGCAAGCTAGATTTTCTGCTTTCTCGTTGTTTCCCTTTAGTAAATATGTGATACTTTGGATGCAGCAGATCAAAAATTATATTAAAGTTTAAGTTAACAGTATATGTTTTGCTTGTAGCTCATGCAGAATATGTGCTAAATAATAAATGTATTTGCCCCGTCAGTGACTGACTCCTAATAAATCCTATTAGCACAGAAGGTAAAAATATTTAGCTAAGTGGCTGTAATGTAGTGTAAATAATGTAATGTAATATAGTGAGGGATCGCCGTGCTCACCATCTTTTATCAGGTGCATTCCATCCAGCAAAATCTGCAGTTTATCCAACAACAGGTTAAGTGGTTTGCACTCAAAGTAAAAAGTGGTTCAAAGTGAAGTTCATTTGTTGTATGATTATGCTTTTATAATGCAGAAAACATTTTGGCTAATACCTAAGTGTGCAGGCACCTGAGTTTCAGCTAATTCTCACAAAATTAAATGCAACTGTATATCCAGCCTTATAAATACTTACATTACTTATATATTACTGTATCATGTAGAAATTTTAAACCGATCCACTAGAGTGAAACATAATTGTAACACTAAATGAGCTTCACAAAATGTGTCAGATACATAACACTGCATATGTCACAGGTAATAGCTTACAATGACTGTTAAAGGTGCCTACGTTTCATATAAACACACTGGTTTACTTACAAGGAGCCTTCCAAACATGAAAGCAGAGTCTATAGTGTGTGATTTAGACAAAAAAAAATACACTCTTTATGAACACTGACACGAAACAGGTCACATGTCTAAACACACACATGGCCCCTCGACTACCCATTTCAATTTACATAGTGAAAAGAAACAAAAGATGAATAAATAATGAGTCCTATGTTGCTCACGAGGCCTGAGTCAGGTGACCACAACTGTCTGTAAAAAGCGCTGTCACCTGCAAGTGTATGTCTCACTCCAAAATGACACCACAGGTCAGGAAGAGGAGTCCAGACATCTGATCCTCGCCGCAGAGGGCCCCGTGTCTCATCACTGTTGGCCAGGCCTGGATCGCCATGGCCAGATGAAAACAACCCCTGTAACCAGAGTCCTCTGTTTGTGTGGTTAGGTGTGATAAAAATCGGTCTGCTGGCTCACTCACTGAGAGCCCCGTCTACACTGACCTAGATGAAGAGGCTTAACCTGGTTCTGGCCACAAAGGCTCAGTTCATGTCGTGTCTGCATTTTGTGCCATGGCCACATCCAAAAGTGTTTAGAAGTTCTTTTAAGAATCTGTCTCAGTTATGGAGGCCAGCTCAGTGATTTTCGGCTCCTCCTGGTGTTTTGTCAGAACTGGACGGTTGGTGTAAATGTCATCCACAGGTAGCAGGAAGGTGACAGTTTTAACCTTGGCCCTAAAAAGTCAAAGAAATAACAAGGGTTATATGGATACAAGCCTGCAATTTAGGAAAAGAAAAGATGAATAAGGCCTATGAGGAGAAAATAGCTTTAAATACATTCAAACTAGCCATTAATGGAGGAACCTTCAAACACTCTGTTTTATCAAATTGAAACCCAACTTTATTCAAGATTTCTGGGACTTTTAAGTGCCTCTCTCTACCTGTTTTTGTGGACGTATTCCTGCAGGGAGTGCCTGTTGGTAACTTTTCCCACGTCTCCTCTAGCTGGGTTACCAAAGATACCATTCCCATGCTGGATTTCTTCTTGCAGTCTTCCCCATCCCGAGTCACTCTGTCTCGACCTGTCCGTCCTTCCCTCTCTCATAGTCACCCCAGACAGGTTGGAGCTTATAGAGTACCTCCGGACAGTCATGATATTGTTCTCTGTGAAAGAACAAGAACATGATGCAGTGGAATGGATTTGTTTTTGACATTTTCTGATGTCTCATTTAAATCTTATGGTGTCTTTATATGCCAGTTTAAAATGCAGTAACTTTGCATGTCTGAATGAAATGAATGCATGACTTTACCTGTCCTTCCTCACATTGTGTTGTGTTGCTGTTTCTATAAATAGTAGGCTAAATGCATTTCTATAAACATGTTGCAGAAGAGGCTAGTGAGTTGCATTATGGCATCCAGTGTTTTTGGAGTTTGATCCATACTGAGAACTAAAATTATATCTCTGCTCTTGCTGCTTAGATTTAGACCATTTTCCCTGTTGATCTGTCTCTTGTAAAGCTCCAACTTAAATTGTTAAGTATTAAATTGCTGGAGATATTTTTTTTTTTTATCATTTTCTCAGGTGCCATCATTTTTTATGTCCATAGTGTAGTTGTGGTAATGAAATGGTACTTGTACAACCACTTGTGCTGAAACAGGCCCTCAGCTCTTACCCTTGTATTGTCCCTCCAGGACAGGTGCAGACACATTTCGTCGCAGGTTCACATAGGGGTTTTCCTCCATCCCTGCCCGCTGCTCTGCTGCTGAAGACACCGAGCTGGCTTCCCCTAGCACGGTCCCCAATGGCCGCTGAGGGTAGTCCCCTCGCAGCTCGCGGTTCTCCGCCTCCAGCTTCTTGATTTCATCGCGCATCTCCATGATGACCTGCGCCAGGCTGCGGGTGCTCTCCATGGTGCTGCTGCTGCGTTGCCAGTACCACGGCTTCCCGAAAACAGGCGGGGAGTCGCGCAGCAGTGGCTCACCGTGCTGCTGGGGTTTTAACATGCTGCTCCCAAAGGCTTTTTGTGGTCCTCCTGCTGTGTGCCTCTCTCTGTTGTCTGTGTCTCTTCTCAATCTCAGTCCAGATCTTGTTCTGGGAGAGATTATGTCGCCTTTCACCACTTATACAGCTGAAAAGGCTCCGGTGATCAGCCAGCAGCACACAAAGGATGTTTTATTAATCAGCCCCGGCGTCCAGTTTCAGGAAAACTAAGCAGGGGTCGGAAATGAAATGTGCACTGCATAAGAGCTTGAATGGCAGGAGACCTATAGTAAACCTGCAGGAACTCTGAAAAAGCTATGAAGTTCTGACAGCTTGTTGGACCTACAGCAGGTTCAGCAACTTCATGTTTCAGACTAAGAATGGATAGGGGAGATCTGATTTTTCTTTTCTTTTTTTTTTTTTGGCACCCCACACTCATCCTCTTGTAATGCCCATGTTTCTGCTGGGATTACAATATCCTCCCTATAAAATATTAATCCAGTCTGTCAGAAAAATGTAGGATGGAAACTGAGAAAAGGCCGCCTTTCGGTCACAGCGATGCAGAAGATCAAACATAAAAATTAGTTGATTCATTGTACAAGTATAGATTGGATTTATGTCTTAAATGTACACATTTACATGTAGGACCCCATTCACAGTGAGCTTTTATTCAATTCACCCAGACGGACATGTGGATTGGTGGGCCTCTAATTTAAGCCACTAAATAAGTGGCCCTCCGTCTCATGAATATGCATGTTGTTTAATAAAGGCAGAGGTCGGGGGGTAACCCAATGATGACAGGCAGTCTTGGGGGAAAAAAAAACATGAAAACAAAACAGGCGTTTGATAAATGATAAGAGAGGGAATCACTGCAAAAGACATCAAATAGAGGCGGGCTGCTCACAAAGGAGAAAATTACAGATAATTACACTCAATGGGGCTTCCACAGCCGGGATTGTTTGGTCAGGTGCTGCAAAAGAGCTCATGTGGCCACAGGTTGTAACCCATAATGAATAGACCAGACAGTCTCTGAGCACACCTGTAGCTTAGCTGGTCTGACTCCAACACAGAATGAGGTATAACACTGCCAACACACTTCCAAATGATATAATAAAATATGAAGTATTGTCAGGAAGAGCCGATATCTACCAGGTCAATATGAGACACCGAGCCTGCAGCATAACCAGCGTTTGTCGTCTGTGACCTGCACTGAATGGTGCTGGTTCAGAGCAACCTGACCCTACCAGAGTCTAGGCCAGTGGGAGGGAGACAGGCGCACATAAGCGGAGGAGGAGAGAATTGGGAGAGAAACCCAATCGGCCCCCGCTTTCTGGTTCACAAAATACGCTACAGAGAGGGAGGGAGGCGAGACAGATGAGACTTTAGGAGTAGAGAAATACCGATTGGCTGGTAGGAAAGGAGCTTGTGAGGAAAAGGTGCTTCAGGAGGTCAACGGGACTCAATCCGCTGCACGTCAGGTGTGCAACCACAGAGGGAGAGTGAGGAGACAGACATAAATGTGTCCGCTGTCTTGTCAGGCAGAGATACAGACAGATAAGTGACGGCATGCTGTCTTTTACCACCAGCTGTATGTTCAGGGCCACTTAACCTCTGTTTATGTGCTGTGCCCCAACACCAGGCTTAGCATCAATAAATAAACAACCACTCTGCTGCTCCCTCTCTGCATGGTCAGTAATTATACCCAGCTATTGAAAAAAAAAAAAAAATCTGACAGCAGATCCCATGTCAGAGCACATGCTACATTTTCATGTCATTGCACTTTCAATAAAACTCCAATCGTACATTTTCATACCCTTCAGTCCCTTCTTTTATCATGAAGCTTCTGTCTGCAGTACTTCATTTTCAGAAAAGCAAACAGACCATGGATATTAACACTGCTGATATAAGTGTTACACAACAGACTACACCAAAAATCATTTCAGATATGGGCACAGAATACTGAACGAAGGGACTGTCAAAACATGGCTAGTTTCCCAAGAAAACATCTGACCTGAAATATGGCATATTAAAATTTCATATTAGTGTACCGCAGGGAAGATATGCAACATTTAGCAAAACAGTTAATTAAGTGAATGAAAAAAAAAAAAAAGCACAGACGATTTGAAAAAGTCTCCCAATTCCAACTGTTGTCAATTAAAACAAAATCTTTTTCTTTACTTTCCAAATGGCACCCTAGCTGCCAGCACACTAGTAAAACGGTCTGGTTGGGGCATCAGTTATGGTTGTGGTGAAATATACTGAAGAT